GGAAGTTTTAAGATGTAATCTTAATAAAAACAGAAAAGAGGAAGAGTGATTTGTACAAGATAACAGTTACAGTAATGAGATTGATGAGAAACTGGGACTATTGGATAGGAAGAGAGATCAGAGCAGGTTTGAAGACAGGGCTGCAAACGATGGGGGTGTTTTTCTTTTTGAAACTCTGCAAGATTGGAGGAAAAAATATTGGGTTTAGATGTATTTGGAGAAAGACATTTATTTTTAGAGATTTAGCAAATTTGCTATACTGTGAAAAGTTGGATGGAAATCTGAGGTGGAATCCTGTTTATTTTCACAAATGAACTGTGTACTTTAAACATGCTGACATCCCTGACTTTCATGTGGCCTTCTCAAAAATGATCACCCAGAAGCCTTATGTAGAGAAAGTTGGAATACACATGCAGGACAACTACGCTGTACCTGGTAAGGAATAGGACTCAGTGAGGACTTGTTGTTACTGCTTTAAGCAAGTTCTCTGAAAGGAATCGTCATCTCTGTTTCTCTGATGCTTCCTGGTCACACCAAACTGAGATTAGAAAAGAATTAAGAAATGGTAGTTTGAGAATCTCTAGAAGTAGTTATAAACAAAAATAAATTATCTCTTAAACTCAAAAATTATGAAGTGAAAAATGAGTAGCAGGTTTGAAAAGCACAGGGCATAAAAATTGAAATTTTGGGCTGTGCATGCTGGTACATGCCTTTAATCCCAGAATTTGGGAGGCAAAGGCAGAATATTCCCTACAAGATCAAGGCTAGCCCGGTCTACATAGTTAGCTCCAGGCCAACTGCAGCTACAGGGAGACCGTGCCTCAAAATAACAAAACAAAATAAAGCAAAACAAAGGAAAAAAATGAAACAAAACGCCAAACTTGAAATTTTAGACTATCTAGTGTAAGGTTCAGTAGTATGAAATATAATCACATTACTTAATCTCCAGAACCGTTCTGTCCTACAGAATTGAAGCTTACATATCATGAAAGTTTCATAATGGAACTCATTATTTTGTAGAATAGTTAAAAACTTAATAGAAGTGAATCTAAACTCTTTTAACAATAACTCTCTATCCTTTCCAAACAACATGAACCACAAATTTCTCACCCACTAAAAAGCAGCATTATACTTCATTTTCTATGAAAACAGATCACTCTAGAAACTAATATGACTAGGTTCATTTCATTTTAATTGGGTGGTTTCACTTAGCATACACTCATCCAGGCTCATCCATGGGGGCTACCCTTTGTTCTAGAACATTCATGCTCTTCACATCTGAATACTATTCTGTTGTATACCCACTGCATTATACATGTAGATTACTGATTTATAAATCTGGACTGCTTCCATCACATAGCTGTTATGAATAATGTTGGTATGAAGATAGAAAAGTAGCTTTTCAAAATCCCATTGGGGATTTTTTGGTATACAAAATATCTGAACTGAAATCTCATATAATATTTTACACATTTTTTATTTTTGAGAAAATACAATGCTATTTCCATACTGATTGTTCCATTTTATATTCCCACCCACAGGATACAAGGTACAATTTTCCATAGACAAAAAAATATCATTACTCCTATTTTAATAATTTTCATTCAAATGAATGTAAGGTGGTATCTCAGTATTCTTTTGACTTGCATTTCCCTACTGACTTGGACTTTTGAACATCTTTTTATCAGTTTTTTCAATATTTGTATGTTCTCCTTTGAAACATATCTGTTTATATTCTTTGACCACTTTTTTTCAGGTGATTTTATCTATTGTCTTTGGGGCAAGGTTTTAAAGTGTAATATTTATTCAGTTATATCTGGATATGTGTTTTTTAAAATTCAAGTGAGACGGCTGGTAGTGATTTAAGCTGATAAAATTTTTTCAATACATATTCATTGTGAAGCTTACTCAGAAGGGGTCCAAAGAGTATGTGATTAATGATATTTTGGCTTTTATACATCTGTATGTTTTCAATTTCACAGACGTATTGATGTGTATTCAACTTAGAACATTCTGTTCTGCATCCTAAATATGTTACTCATGTTCACCTTCTATGTCAATAAATATATAAATAATCATAATTCAAAAGAGTGTCTTCATCTATATTCTGCCACTATAGAAAAAATTCCAAGGACTGGGTACATTATAAGAAAAGGAATTTTATTTAGCTATCAGATATGGAGGCTGGGGATAAAAGGAGAATATAAAAAGCAGATATGAAAAGAACATCAGGAAATTGAACAACTGCTGTGTGTAGAAATCTCAATAAACAAACCCTCTTTCTCTTCAGATTTTGAGAAAAACAGAGAAATACTTCTCAACTGCAGTCTTGTTAGAGATAAAGTTAGAAAATTAGGCTTAGTGAGAAACCAGCTGAGAGTGTGAATAACTGATTTAGGTCATCTTCCGTTATACAACAAGTGTATGATGGCTTTCCTTTACAGATAAATTTTGGAGGGTCTGCTGGGCTATGCAAAGGGTGTACTGAAGATAGCAGTTTCAGGGCAAAAGCAGGCAGTGAGATGCAGGAATTGGGAGCTCCTGTGAACTCCTTAGAACTACAGGTGTGACCTGGGAACTGGTCAGTGTTAACCACAGTCTTTCATCATCATGGAGATCCACTAGAACTACCTGGATGACATGCACATGATGAAGTGCATAGCTGAGTTGTGTGGGCAGGATAGTGTCTAGGTCCAGAAGCATGAACTGATATTCAAGTTTTTTTTAATGTATATATTTATAATATGTATGAGTGCATTGCCTGTATGTGTGTAAGTGCATTTGTGTTGTGCAGTGCCTGTGGAGGTCAGAAGAAGGCATCAGATCCCCTGGAACCAGAGTTACAAATGGTTTTTAGTTACCTATTGGGTGCTGGGAATGAAACCTGAGTCCTCTGCAAGAACCATCAGTGCTCTTAACTGCTGTGCCATCGCTCCTGCCTGGCATTCAGTTTTGGTCAGATGATCCTAGAGAAGTCATACACTTGGAAGCACTCTTGGGGTAAGCAGTGGTAACAGAAATCATACTGAGAAGACATGCCTGGAATTCCGCCAGGGACATCATCAATGCGGAGGAGGCTGGCATCGTCTTTATTGCATTTTGACACCTATGAGGTGGCAGATGAGTTTCATCATAATCTACCTGTTTGGTTTTTCAAAGTTGGATCTGATAACAGTAACAATTTTCATATCTTGAGTAAGTAATCCATTGGTGATCTCCAGTGGGATGCAGTTAATAGACAAGTTGAAGCAAGTATATCAAATCAGATCGCCTCTGCCCCAGCTCCTTCTCATCCAACATCACCATGCAGAACACCCCATCCCTACTGCATATAATCTGGGAATATTAGATGTTCTTTCCTGATATTCTTTTAGTGGGTTCTGGGTGTGAAACAGGCATAGTAATATCTGAGGCTGTGATGGTTCTGGAGTTTAAATGATGGAATGTCTCAAAACTATGGACAAGGCCCAGAAAGGGAGGTGACCAATTGCCCTGTCTGATGATGGAGAATTGAATCTGATGATGGTAGTATCTGGGTCCTTCATGAAGAGGGCACTATGCTACTCAACTGAGCATTTGCTGCCCTGAAAGCTAAGCACATGTTTTAATCAAAATGAAACTTTTAGAAGCTGCCATTGGCACTGGGCATATTCATTAACAAGATAGGTAAGATCGTTTTCATGCAGATGGTGAGAAGGTTCAGTGTTGAGAATAACATCATCATGGAAGGGTTGTTAGAAACACATAGCAAAAATTAAAATAAAATAAAATCTTCGGGACTGGAGAGATGGCTCATCAGTTAAGAGCACTGGTTGTTGTTGCAGAAGACCCGAGTTTGAATCCCAGCACCCACATAGGGGTTAACAAACATTCATAATTCCAGTTTCAGGGGATCTGATGCCCTCTTCTGTTTTATGTGGGCACTGCATGACTCAAGTGCATTTACACACATGCAGGCGTGATACTCATACACATAAAATAAAAATGAAGAGAACAATAATCAAATCTTAAAGTGCCATTCTCTGAACTAAAAAAGAACAAAACTGAATTTGGCCTGTGACATCATCAAAACAGTAACATAACAGGAAGAAAGCAAGGGTTGGATTTGGGCCCAAGCCAGGACTAATCATCACAGGATGTACCACAGAGGACTGGGTACTGACTGCTCTGAATAGAGGCAGAACAATGGAGCGAACAAAACAAATGGAAACAGCAGTGAGGTCAGTACATATGAAAGACTTGTATGCCCAGGTACAGTACAAGTTGTTTACTGAACAATTTCTTTATATTACCATGTCCCTTGAGAGACAAGGAGTGGTGACCTGTCACAAGGGTCATTCAGGAGAGCTCAAGGGGGTTGAGCAATTAAAAATAGCAATCTCTAAGTCAAGTGAATATGAGGTACATAATGTTGATTAATGTGAAATTCTGGGTGTATTTGAGGTCCCTGATATTGAAAACTTAAATGGAAAGGGTGAAGTTTGATTTATGGGAGTGAAGTAAAGGGTAAACGAACTGATGGAAGTGAGTGTTCATTGCAGTGACCAAATGGTATCATATTCTAGAAATGTCCCATACCCTTCTTTGTGAAGTAGGCAGTCTGAAATGTTTGATGGCAGAAAAAGAGAACAACCAAATTCTAAGTGCAGTAGATGTGTGAAAGGAAGGTTGATAGCAGGATAGCACTGTTTAGGCTCACAGAGGCTCTCCTTCAACCAGGAGAAAGAGCCACCTATAATACATGGAGGGAATCTCTATGCAGTTGTGTGCTAGTACTCTTGGATTCCTTACCCAGAATGAAGGGATACTTCTGTAACTGACTGTTGGCTAGAGTGTTAATTCAAGTAGAATTCAGGTATCACTGAGGCAGAACAGCAGACAAAGTGTTACAGGCCAATGGAATACTTTAATGCTTTTCACTATGTGCTTTACCCATTTATTTATTTTATACAAGAGTTAATGGTGGCTGGTGAGTGATAACTTTAAAAAAAAATTTCAGTGTCCATAATCATTTATGAACAGCAAAGAATACACTCTGGAAAACCTTTCTCAAGGACCTTTTCACTTCCTTGTTCCTCAGTGAATAGATTAAAGAGTTCAGCATGGGTGAGAGTATATTATTTAATATTTGCACCACAGCACCAAGCAGGGGGTTGGGTGTGCACTGCAGATAGATGATAATAACAGGTCCATAGGCACAGAGGATGGCAGTGAGGTGGGCACTGCAGGTAGAGAACGCTTTCTGCCTACCCTCTGCCGAACGGATTCTCAGAATGGCAACCCCAATGTGAGCATAGGAGACACAGACACTGAACAGCAGCATCAGGGCCAGAAAGCCAACATTAATAGAACCCACATTCTGGGCCAGTCTATTGTCAGTACAAGACAGGGGTAAAACAGCAGGAAGGTCACAGAAGAAGTAGTCCACTTGATTTGACCCACAGTACTGTAAATGAAAAGTAAAGGTTGTCAGGATACCCGCATGAAGACACCCTACCAACCAGGCTATTGTGACCAAGCTCACACACACTCCAGGTTTCATGATGAGCATGTATCTCAGTGGGTGACAGATGGCGACATAACGATCATAAGCCATCACAGAATAGAGGCATCCTTCAGTAGAACCCAAAAGATGATAGAAGAAGAGCTGGGCCGCACATCCTCTGTACGAGATGGCCCGGCTCTGGCCAGAGAGATAAAGAAGCATCTTGGGACAGGTTACCGATGGGAACAACATGTCAAAAATGGACAGAAGTCCCAAGAAGAAATACATGGGGGTGTGGAGGGTAGAAGAAGAAATGATTGCTGTGAAGATGAGCAAATTCCCAAGCAGGGTGAAGAAGTAGATGAACAAGAACACAACAAAGAGAAGAGTCTCCAGGCCTTCTGTCTGAGGAATTCCCAGGAGAATGAATTCATCAAGCAAGGTGTAATTTCTCATTATCTGCAAAGGTGGTTTTAACAAAGAAGCAGGGTAATTAAAGCAAATTTAATATTAGTACAATAACTAGCACTGTTTTACTGAAACATAAAGATCTCTTGGTCCCTTCATTTCCATGAATCAATACCCAAAGATACTCAAATCTGTATCTATTATATAAAATCAATACTTGCTTATCTCACACTTCTAAAGGTGTGAAAATTGAGGTCGGAGCCCTTTCTCTGATGAAGACTCACTGAACAGTCTGGAAATCAAAAAATGACATCACATGGGATACAATGTGGACACAGAAGGAAGAAGAGATACATTCGGGAGATAAGCCATTAACTCATTAGTTCATTATTTCCAGGAATATATCAACCCATTCGTGAGTAAAACCCTCAGAACAAATCACTTCTTGAAATTCTCACTTGATTCCATCTCCTCATATTTCAAAAAGGGGATTTTACACACACACACACACACACACACACACACACACACACACACCAAATAAACAAATACCCTAAGCAAAGAGTGTCTAGTGAGATGGGCTCAGTATGTCAAGGCGCTTGTCACCAAGTCTGACAACCAAAGTTCAATCCTGGGGATCCTCTTGGTGGAATAGAGAACAACTGCCCTCACATTGTCCTTTGATCATCACATGAATTCTGTGGGGACTTTTGGCCTACAGATGTATGTGTAAAAACACACACACACACACAGAGGAAATAAACTAAAAAAAAATTAAAGATTTAATTCTGAATTATATATATATATGTATATAATGTACATGTTCATATGTTAGTTCTTGTTAGTGCCTGTAAAGCCCAGAAGAAGGAATCAGATTCCCTGAAGCCAGAGTTTTTGTCAGTTATAAGCCCTCCAGCTAGGGTGCTGGAAACTGCACTGTAGTCATCTGGAAGACCAGTACATGCTTTAAACATTGAGCCATCCCTCTAGTTCCATAAAGAGGGATTAAATTTCACTGTGAGTTTTGGAAGATCTTTCAAATAATATCAGATACAATTGAAAATAACTGTTAGGTATTTTCTGGAAATATTTAAGTCTGTGAAACATATGCATATTTTCATATATGGAAGTATATCATTGTTTGAACTTGCTTAAAAAACTAATTGAACTATACACAGGAAATTCTAATAGAATCATGTTTTTGTGACTTTAGAGAAATTACTCCTTGACATTGAAATATTCACCATAGTGCCATTCTCTCTATCATCTATCTATGTAGCATATAATTTATTAGCTAAAAGAGCTAATGAATTAATGAAATTTGAAATTTTATTTATTGATATATTTTCCTATTATTACCATGAAGAAACTATGTCTAGTCTAGCTTAGCACTATATCTTTAGGATTTAGGAAATAATAATATGTTATAAATAAGTGTATTTATTAAATGTTTCTACACATTTATTACTTGACTCAGTTTGAAGTGCCACTTTTGTCCTTAAACTATCTTTAAATTATTATAAAAAATATATAACATAATAGTTGATTCAAACTTGTTTTGTAGCTTCAAATTTCATGCATAATGCTTGTAATATTCATCTAAATATAGATTATTTAATTCTTGACCTAGTACAGGTAGAATGATCATTGATGGTAACTAATTATTATCAATCACTTGAGGAAAAATTGCATGTGGTAAGTTAGAGTGACAAATCAAGGAGAGAAAACGGAGCTCTCTATACAGAAGGAAAATGAGAAAGTTGTGTTTATTGGAAATTTTTATAACAAAAAGAGAAGGATATGTAATATGTAGTTTACAAATACCTGATTTAGTACAAAAATTCTATACTGCTAAACATATAACCTTAGGAATTGGGTTTAGAACATTTGTCTTTGTCACAGGGTAGTTAAAGTAATTATTGTAATTCGTCAGCACACTTCATAATTGACATTTTTCAAAGTTTATAGAGACCATTCATCCTATCATTTTTAAGTCTTAGGTCCTTTTATGTTGCATGTTGGAAGAAAGTGAGGATTCATTTTTTTTAACTCCCTAGACTACTGGTGTCTGTTTCCTGTGGCACATCATGTAGATTTGAGGCCATTTTTTTCCTTTTTGTTAATAATTAATATGACCGTCAAGCCATTAATAATGTTATTTAGTGAAATACAAAGATCAAGTATCACTCTTCATCCTCTATGCCAGATTGAACATTTAATCATTCTTTCTGTAGAGGTGATAAACATTACCATTGAAATCTACTCGATGACTTTATAGACATACACAGGTGCCAAGGATCCAAGTGCAACCTATTATGACTAGTAATAATCAGATACATACAGCTCAGTGTTACATGCACCAACATCTCAGTGTTAGTAGCAAAAACAATGAGTCTTTCTATATATATATAATTTGGATTCTAGGAACGTACTCTAATTTCACTAAGCAATCTCCAGTTAATAAGTATCAACCTATGTAGACCCATGTTAATTCTCCTGAATATTTTTAGAGCTGTTAACCTACAGGCAATATTTTATTTATTCTCAACTGAGGAAGAAAAGTCATAGCCACTGGGTGGCTCCCATGCTCAGGATTAGCCTTATATATATAATTTGGATTCTAGGAACGTACTCTAATTTCACTAAGCAATCTCCAGTTAATAAGTATCAACCTATGTAGACCCATGTTAATTCTCCTGAATATTTTTAGAGCTGTTAACCTACAGGCAATATTTTATTTATTCTCAACTGAGGAAGAAAAGTCATAGCCACTGGGTGGCTCCCATGCTCAGGATTAGCCTTCAGTCTTTGCAAAGGCTTCCTTGGTGGGGATGGGAGCTGGGGGAGGGTGGCATTGACACACTGACAGTTCTGAACAACTGCAGTTAGGCCTAGTGGACAAAGAGTACATCCCACATAACTGCCACATAAGTATTTGAAAATTTTCCTAGGAAAATAAATCTAATAACGCCCATAAAATTTCTGGATGTATCGTGTAACTTTTAAACTATGAAACTATAAAGAATAAATACAAAGATAGTATTTTGCAGTTAGAAATCAAGATAAACATACCATAAGGGATGTTCCTTTAATTGTGCTTTTTTTATATCCAGCCCTCACTAAATGCTAAGTATTAATTAACTCAAATAATATTTCCCTCTTGGAATTGCTGTAAAGTTTAAATAGGATAATATTCATGAAATAACTTTGGAAATGATAGAGAAATCTATTGCTCTTTTCTGGAAGACAGGAGAACATGAGGCAAAGATAAGAAAAAGCAAGGTGCTTAAGGTGGACAGACTGGGTGTTAAGTCTAGGTTGGCTATTTACTGATTTTGTGTCTTTTGTATGTCTTCAGTTTCTTATCTCTGAAAGAGGGATAGCATTTCACTGTACTCTCCAGTTACTAGATTAAATAGGGTAATGCAATAATGAGAAATCTAATGAAATTTCTGATGTTTTGCAGGTGCTTAGCAAATGTTATTTATTCCTTCAATCTAGACAAGTGAAAACACCCTTGTGTGGCTGGGGTCTATCAAACACACACATTCTTATAATGCACATTTTGATATTCACATGAGCATTACAAACTCTAAATAATTCACACTATGGAGAATTGTTTATAACATGCCCTTAATTCCCTCATGGAGATTACTGAATTTTTTGAAGGTGCAAATAATATGCATCATGGAGAAGATTGGGAATCTTGGTATTAATGTTGACTTATCACTCAGAGCCCACATGCAAATCATCTTTCTAATCACTCAAAACAAAGTATAATTTTGATTACACTATTGCATGATAACAACGATTTGTGATGGAAACCATGCTGCATAATGCTGGGGGCTCTAAAGGCAAACCTGACATCCAGTGAGATTACAATTCTGAACAAATAAAATCTAGGAAAAATTGTTCATGAAAAAAATAATCACATTGCAGACTGAGGTAATTTTCTACCCCTTAAAAAATAACTTGGGGGCAGGTGAGATGGGTCAGTGAGGAAATCTGTCTGCTGCCAAGCCTGATGACCTGAGTTCGATTGCCAGAACTCATATAACCCGTATGGTGGAAGGAGAAAATTAGGTTCCACAGATTGTCTTGTGACTTCCATAATGTGCTATGACATGGGTGTGCCCCCACACATACATACATACATGCACACAAAATAAAAAAATGTAATAAAAATAAAAAAGGAAACCAATTTTTATTCCTATAACTTCAAACCTTATTTTTGAAATTATATTTTCAATACTAAACAAGCCATCTTACTATTAGTGTGCTTATAAGCATCAAAGGTACATGGAATCAAGAAAAATTTATCATTCCAAGTAGTAGGTAGTTTAAAAGTTTAAGGGAACATTTAAAACATTTTCTGTGTGTGTAAGTGTATTGCCTGCATGCACATAAATGCACTCACGTTGTGCAATGCCCACAGAGGTCAGAATAGGGACTTGGATGTCCTGAACTGGAGTTATGGACAGTTGTTAGCCACCATGTGTTCTGGGAATGGAACCCAGGTCCTCTCCAACAGCAGTCACTGCTGTTAACTGCTGAGCTATCTCTCTTGCTCCAAAAGGACCATTTTTAATACAGGTAAGAAAATAGGATAAAAATAGAAAAATTACTGGCACACAACTTGAATAGTTCCCTTTGCTCCTTTTTTCTTCATTTGTGTTCCAGAAGTCTGCATTGCAACAGTCCTCCATGAACCCAGGGTATGGTCTTTTAATTGTGCTTGGTATATAGCAGGTACATACTTAGTATTGGGTTTTTATTAATTGACATAATTACCTCACAAAGTTGCTTTAAAGATTAAATATAATCTTGAAATTGGTGATATGTCATATGATTTTATCTAATGATTAATTATGGCTATAATTATTTTTGGAAATTCAGTGCTGGAGAATTTAGGAAGATACCTGCATAGAGGTAGTAGTTGGTAATGTAAGTCTAAACCTGATCATTCAGAGAAGCAAGGTTTGGCCAGGACCAAGTAGAACTGGAGTACAATTCTTGGAAAACAACATTGTAGGGACAGATGGAAAAAGGGGAGCCATACTAGAATAGATTCATTCTTCAGAGTCAGGAGAAAAAGTCTTATATATCTGTATCTCATAAAGATTATTTCCTTGGTGCCAAGTATGCATCAAACTAATTTTTATTCATAAGCCATTTCATGATTTTTAGAACATGACTGATGTTGAGTTAATTGGTAATGAACTAAAGACTAGCAAGGGATTATATCTTTGCAGGCTATGTATGAGACAGTAAATGGGGGAAAGGACACTAGCTATTTCTTCTAAGAAGGAAGCCATATAATCATTACTCCACTGACTCTCTCTCCACGTCTCTGCCAAGAGAACTCTGAGCACCTACCTAGCTGAAGGGATTATGAATGACTGAAAGAAGGCAAACAGATTTTCTCACTGCTTTCATCTTCAGTTTCTACTTCACCGTTGTGAGGCTATCCACTCCAAACTCCTCCTCTGTTCTTGCGCTCTGCAGTTTCAGATCCTTAGTAGTCTATTTCATTCAGAATCACACAGAGAGAAGGTACTCCATACCTGCTGGCACCTGGGGTGATTACCTCAGTTAGCGGGGGTTAAGTGATCCTTCTTTGTGGGACTTTAAATGGTTTCCTGGTCCCTGTGGATCCTCATTCCCCAATCTACCCAAAGGCTCAGGGAACAGAAGCTTCTGAGTAGAGGGAGCAATTAAATGCTGTATTAGTTGTATCTGAGCTATGGAATAGAGCACAGTAATATACCTGCTTCAGGTATATATTTCATTTACTCTTGCCTAATTTCTCACATTTCCACTCTATCAACTCCTTTACCTCTTGTTGCTTCTTGTGGTTGACTGGTTAGAACTAATTCACAAGGAAGTATCAGTTTAATGGAAGCAGAGAAATAATTTTATTCGAATAGCCATAGACTTGGTTCAAGTTGAAAACTTTATTAGTATGAAAACAAATTTGGGAATACCTTACAATGGTCCATCGGAAGGATAGGCTTTTGGGCAGAGATATCTAACCTGGGATAGCCCGTATTTGTTCTCTATTATACTGCAATCATTCACAGGATGAAGATATTTCTAGCAGCCACTGTCCAGATCACACCTGTAAGCGTTATCCCAGAAAGTTATTATGGAGCTGATTATTATGGAGCTGATCCTATTATCCATTGATGTCATAGCAATCATACCCTCATAGAACAATATATTACCTGGTTATGCTGCTTATAAAGAAACCTGTTGAACTGCCTGTCATGTACCAGCATAGTACAAACAATTTTGTAAAGTGTACAATACTTGATAATAACAACGATGTTCATGTATTTATTGCACCTTTATCATCATTAATCTAGTATGTAATTCTCTTTATAATAATAAAAACCACACTAGGAAGTATTATGCTATATTTTACTATCAGTGGGCTCATTCCAATAGCCCATGGGACTCTCCAATAGCCCATGGAAAGTGACAGACTTAGAAGAACTCAATCTGAGCAAGTATACTCTGAAAAGTTAATAAATGAAGAAATCAATGAAAGGCACATTTTTTGGAATGTACCTGTCCCTGTAGTTAAAAATCTGTAGTGACATTTTTTTATGCACATCACTAAAAATATTTTAATATATGTGGATGTATATAATAACAATTTATGTAGATATTTAATGATTTTATTACACCCTATGTATCTGTGCATGGGAGCATTTACTATGGTGTGTACATAGAGGTCAGAAGAGAGCTTGCAGCAATTGATTCTCTCCTCCCACCATTTGAATCTGGAAGATAGAACTCAGATGGGGAGGCTTGGCAGCAAGTACTTTTATCTGCTGAGCTATCACTCTGGTGTCTCATTTATTTTTGTATCAAATATCGTATCTCTTTTAAGTATAAAATTCAGTTGGGTAATGGCTTTTCTGTCTTTTTTATTCCAAAATGCCAGTGTGCAGAGTGGTGCCTCCCACATACAATGCATATATAAAATAGCATGTTTCTCTTTTAAAGGTTTGATCATTGGACTCAAAAATTTAACATGAATGACAATATGAAGAATGAAATTATTCAGTGTTTTTTTAAAGTAAATGTGAATATCACATAACAAAATGCATTCATGGTTTAAGAACTAAAAAGTGCTGGGTTTTTGTGTGCACATTATGTGAGGCTCAGTGCTTCTTTTGCTTCTTTTTATAATTGTTCTTCTGACGACCAGGATGATGACCAGTATCATATAGATGTTCCCAGATTCAGCCCTTTCCAACCTCACTGCCATGCCTGCACTGGGGCAGACTTCAGGTCCCAAGCTTTGATTCCATCAGACGGGATGAACAACGTTCAGTTGCTCAGCTTTGACTGTTGCTGCCAGACACTTCAGCCAACAGAGAACAGTTACAACTTGATTGTCAACACCAATGGTATTTCTACATAGGAAAAAGGACCATTCCTTCTTAAAAGTCATTTGACAAATGTGAAAAAATATATTTCTACAAACTAGTACTGTTATAAAGGAGTTTGAGATTGCGTTGCATTTTACCGTACACGTGTATATGTGTGCGTCTATGTAGGTGAATGTGAAATGTGTATGTGCATGCATGCATTTACTTCCAGATTCAGTCAATCTTAAGAAAACACTGAAATAGTTATATTACTCTCTCACTGTATCAGTACCAGAACAAATAACTTCAGGGGAGATAATTGCTACAGCAGATACATCATTTAGAGGATAATTAAACTATGCCTTGATAAAAATAATAAATTCTTTGGAAAGTTGCTCAGCAACAGTTATGCCTTTCTTAAATCACCAGGGTAAACCTGTGATTTTGAGATAGAATACAGAGAAGCTGATCCGATCCAGAGGACCATGGACACTCTCAGCTACCGATACTGTCATCAGACTCTCCACTTGACCACCCTGATGAAATATACATAAGTGACCCCTGCCTAGAAGGCAGGGTGTTAGTAACTAACTAAATGCAGTTCCCTTGAAAGGGAAGTGTGTGTGTGCCCTGGACCAATTCTAACTAGAAAGAGAAGCCTCAAATTAGAGACAAGAAGAAACAATGTAAGATAAAATGCCCATGAAGTTCTTTTTAGGACAGAGGAAGCCTTTGGGAATTGTCTGTTACACAAGTATACAGTTTCTTGTACCGTCTCTGATGTAATGCTCCAGGATTTTCACTTGAAAAGCAAATTCCTTCCTTTTACCTCTCCTCTGAGCCTTCCTCTGCTGAAGCCAGGCAGAGGAAAACAAATAACTTTCTAATGATAAAGGATTCTCTTCCCTGCAGAGAATAATAGACGTTTGACTATTTGCTTGAGAATTTTCCCTAGATCCCTTACTCATCTGGTTGATATTTTATAACTGGGCCCTAGAAGTGGGCGGGTCTTCCAGGAAAATTTAACTGCAGCTGTTTTCACTTTTCCTGACTCACAGCACAAGGAATTCTGGAGAAGGTAGGTGATAAAGATGCTGGCTCTGGGGCAGACTCCTACTCCCTGCACCTAAGGATTCCCTTCCCTTCTGCCCCTCCCCTGCTGCCGAAGCCCATTCCTAGTTCTGTTGTTTTTTCAGACTGCAAGCCCCAGGGGTGGGGAATGAATCCTTGTCAGCAATTCTGTGAAATTTCTGCAGGATTAGATGCTTGTGGGAAAACATGTAGGGGCTGCAGGAGGCATTCAGACATCTCAAGTAATGCACCTTCTTCCTCTCTGTCTCTGTCCTTCTCTCCCTGTCCCTCCTTCCTTCCCTTATTCCCTCAACTCCCATCTTCCTTTCCTTTCAGACACCGTAAATCTGTGCTGTCACAAATGCAGTTTTAAGCTTCCAACCATAACAAATGTTTGATGTCCCCAAGTCTGTTATATATAGAAATTCACAGGGAAACAATCTCTGTTGTAAATATCGGGGCACTGAAAATTAAAGACAGAAAATTTAAAGCTAAAATCACCCCCTGTTTCTTTGTAAGCTGGGTTCCATATTCCAAATCTCATCCTTGCTAGATATTAGGTTCTGGACTTCTCCCCAGCAAGAATCTGCAGGGGTGTGGCCAGTTTCTCCTGCAGACTCCCTGGCCCTCTGTCTGCAGTTGAGCTGATCAGAAATATGATGCCTGAATTATTGTGGGTAATACCAGGTGTGGATCCTTGACTGAGAAACCCTATTTGTTCACATCTGAGAATAGTCTTTACCTTCAGTATTTATAGGTGGTTTTCTTAAAGTTCCATCCTGAGAGACAGGGGTATTATTTGCCACAGGTGATTCTGCTCATATGAGAAAGGGTAGCAGAGAGGATGAAATCGCTCATTGAGGGAAATTTACTCTGAGGTTAGATTCCAGAAATAAAGGTTGCTTCATTGCAGAGGACACTGATCACTGATCAGCCTCTCTCCCCTCTCACAGCCTTCTGCTGCTTGAGCTCTGCTGCCAGACACAATCAATCCTTCAGCTGTTCTGCTCCTGGGTGAGTCTCCTGCTTTAAGCTTCCTGCCAATGTTAATAGAAATCCTTCACCCCCATCCCCAGGCTCTCTACCTTCTTAATTTAAGGGGAACCCATTTCCCCAGCATTTTCTCCCGTCTCAGCATCTGTTGCAGTTCTATTTTTCTGTCAAGAAATAGTCATTTTAGCAGTCTGGTATTTCTTTTTTCCCAATTGCTCAAAAACAGCATGTGGAATGATGAGCCAAAATTATACCTGTGGATTTGTAGGAGTAGGAATAAATGTAGCAGATGCACAGTCAGCACGGACATTGTTCTCTCTGTGTGTGTGTGTGTGTGCGAGAGAGAGAGAGAGAGAGAGAGAGAGAGAGAGAGAGAGAGAGAGCAGTCTGCATGCTGAGCAAATGCTGCGTCACTGAGCTACAGTCACAGCTATGGAGTCTAGGAACTGTGGCTGTGATGAGCATGGTGGGCCTCAGAATATTATTGAACATAGCTGTAGGATCCTTATGCCAAGAATGAATGATGCCCTCTTAGGATTGCATATATTCATGGCTTGTAGGTCCCAGGGAAGGTCAAGATTCATGAATCACCTACTGGTGCTTTAGATAAGCATCTGGCTATCAGATGTCCTCGGCTTGCTGGGTGCTCAGGCAGTGCCATTTTAGCTCCTTAGGGTAGTCCTCAGGGAAAAGTACCCCTGTGGTGCTGGTCAGTGAAGTTTAGGTCACACTTTGCTACAACAGAGTTAAGCTAGCCTATGATCAGGTACAGAATACCCTCATAGACATTGTCAGGGACATTAGGGCCATCACTAATAATATTGAGGAAATTAGGGTTCCTTCTGTGGGTTCTTAGTCTCTTTAATAAAAATATTTTAGAATTGGATTTGAGAGAAAAATTCAAGGACTATAAAAGTTGGAGAGTGAAACACCAGAGCAGGCAAGCTCGTGCTCAGCAGCTGCTAGGTAGGCATGAAGAGAAAACACCATGCCTTGTAAAGTCAGGTACTTGGATCAGCAAGTAGCTGAACAAAGGGAGAAAGGGGTCCTTAGACCTGTTTCATAGAATTCTGTGTAATGAGTACCTTGTGACTCATCCTACCATCTGAGGAGGTGTTCAGTAGGAGCCTCAGCATGGGCATTACTGTCCCTTCAACTTCCCTCTTCCTAGTTGCAAAACTATGTCTCTGTATGCATTCTTATGCCAGAGAGAAAGACATGTATGTGGTGATGGCATTTGAATTGCTGACTGTCAAATATGTACAACTGATGTATTTTTTCACAGAGTGTCACCATGGTGCAGTCATGTGGCCTGCTCACTGGGAAAAACAATCCAGGTAAGCACGAGTCATGATGATTAATGCCAGGCTCTTTAGTACCTAGAACAATATTCTGGCCTGTGGATGTGATTCTGGCAAACCTTTTTGAAATCCTGAACCCTGTTCTCTACCCAGTGGCACTCAAGAGCATTGCTGTGACCCTGTCCACAAATGACTTCGTGGCTGGGGTCTCTGCAACCTTAAACTATGAGAATGAGGAGAAAGTTCCCTTGGAGGCCTTCTTTGTGTTCCCCATGGATGAGGACTCTGCTGTCTACAGCTTTGAGGCCTTGGTGGATGGGAAGAAAATTGTAGCAGAATTACAGGACAAGAACAAGGTATGAAGAATTAGTATATCTTCCCTTCTCATTTCTTTATTCTCTTTAGAAGTTTATCAAATGCAAAAACTAAAAAGCTAGTATTAAATGTTTAAAATTATTTGGGATGTGAGGAACCAGTCAGTCATTCAGAGTATAGCTCTTCATAAGATAGAGCCCATCAGTCTCTCCAAACAGTCCTGGTTTTATATACACCCTGTCCCTTAATTTTATATCAGTTTTTCCACCTTTCATGCTATTTTTTTAGGCCCATTGCATGTATGAGGATGCCCTCTCCCAGGGATACAGGGCCTACCTATTAGAAGAGGACAAGTGTTCCAGGGATGTCTTCCGTTGCAATGTGGGGAACCTCGACACAGGGTCAAAGGTGGCACTCACCCTGAAGTATGTTCAAGAGCTGCCTCTGGAAGCAGATGGAGCCCTGCGCTATGTGCTCCCAGCAATCCTAAATCCGAGATACCGTCTCTCTGGTAAGTACCTCTCCCATTTGAATACCTGTGGTGCCATGAGTATAGACCTTTCTAAGTTTATGGAGTGTTTAACGGGTTAGCAGGGACCACAGACCTATGCTACCTTTTTGTAGATCGATGTGTGGACACTTGCCTGGATATGAAGACCCCCATAGTCCCTTTGGAGGACCTGCCTTACACACTCAGTATGGTGGCCACCATCAGCTCTCATCATGGCATTGAGAGGGTCCAATCCAACTGTTCCTTGAGTTCCACTGAGTACTTTGGAGATGACAGGACGTCTGCTCAGGTGATTGGTATGAGAGTTGCCAGTCCTGTCTTGAGTCTTGACTTGGTTGTCACCCAGCATTCCTAGGTCTTCCTCCTTTCTGGGGTACTGACTGCCTTTTATATCCTTTGCAAAGTAAAGTTCTATCTCCCCTCTGCTCCTGATACTGCTGTTCATAGGAGTATGTAGTCCTGGACCTGGCTTCAGCCTCTGGAAGCAGTTATTCTTCTAATCTTGTTTTTCTGCTGCTTTCCAACTCAGGTTTCCTTGGCTGATGGACACAAGTTTGATCGGGATGTGGAGCTCCTGATTTACTATAGTAAAGTGCACAGCCCCAGTGTATCTGTGGAGATGGGAATGCCTGAAATGGAACCAGGTACGTTATTTCTTATTTCCAAGGCCCCTCCTAGGAGGTTACTCTCTTCTCTCTTGGAATTGCTCTCAGATATCGTTACTTTTATTTGTCAAATGTGAAGTATTCAGTCCTTGTTCTTCCATATACAAAAAAAAAAGAAGGTTTAATAAAAAATCAGGTGGTTATGTTTTCTCTTGATGAATATACACTATGAAACTTCCAAATTTCATCACATTGTTTAATGTCAAGGTAAAGACTGTGAACAAAAAACTCAAAAGAAAAACATGAAAATGATTATAAACATGTGAGCATGGCCAGTCTTTAAAGATGCAAAATACAAAATAGTGCAATGACATTTTCACCTTTCAAAGGATCAAAGATGTCCAACTGTAATGTACCATGCTTCAGTAAGTGTAGTGTAACAGTCATACCCATAGGACAGCCCTGCTTAAATTCAGTGGACCATGACACAAAACAAAGACACAATATTGGGAAGGAATTTAAATGTAGTGGCTAGTGGGAGAGTGTTGAGTAGTATGTCCAAAAGGTATAATATGTACATATGACATAAAGAATAAATTAAAAACAGTATATTAAGAAAGCTAAATAATGTGGTGAAATTTGGGTATTTGATAGATTATTTGTAACAAAATAATTCAATATCAACCATTTCAAAAAATGTTGACCAAATATGTCAAAATTCATTTTCATTTAGGTCTTTCCAATTTTTGGACTCTTGTTTATGGAAAAAAATCTAAATATGAGTAAAATTTATCAGAGGCTATCCCCCACCACTTTAATATGAAATATTGGTAGATAATAAAAATGCCATATAGTAAATAAATTCACAATGCTGCTAATAACGTGGCTTAAGTTGTGTAACTATAAAGTAATGCACTTCGGCAATTTGAAATAATTTGAGATAAAAGGCTTCTCAAAGGAAAGGGAGTGGCTGGAGAGATGGCTCAGTGGTCAAGAACACTGGCTGCTCTTGCAGAGGGCCCAAGTTTGATTCCCAGAACCCACGTGGCAGCTAACAAGTGTCTATAACTCAAGTTTCAGGAAATCTGGTGGCTTTTGACCTCTGTGGGCATTGTATGACATGACTGCACTTACATGCAGGCAATACATTCACACACGTAAAAATAATAAGATAGAAAGGGAAAAGTTGCTCAAAGACAGATTATGATTATTACGGGAAATACAGTCAGTAAGGGAAATAATGACTATGTTCATACTTTTATATTTAAAATTATGATTCAGTTGATATTGTTTCTTTGTCTATTTTATTCAACAAATAAGTTTTGATTTTATAACAATGTGATCTCACCTCATGTATTTTTCACATTTAGAATAATTATAAATATCAAAATTCAACACTTTATTTCATATGCACAGTTCTCTTTCTGCTCGGTTGTTTATTAACTCATCACTATTTCTAGTTCCTTTTTCCCCCTCAGATAGGGTCTTCTGTAACCCCTTCTGACCCAGTAATTGTTATGTAGACCAGGCTGACCTGGACCTCATAGAGGTCTCCCTCCCTCTGCCTCAGGATTTAGAGGTCTGTGCCACCTGCACCACTCTCTCTTTAATTTCTAACACATGATAGGTAGATTTCTAAGTAATTTTCCTAATAGGTTTACTTGCTTGGTGTCTCTTTGTTGCCAAATCTAGAGTTTGAGTATCAGTATGTGTGTGTGTGTGTGTGTGTGTGTGTGTGTGTTTAGAATAATTATAAATATCAAAATTCAACACTTTATTTCATATGCACAGTTCTCTTTCTGCTCGGTTGTTTATTAACTCATCACTATTTCTAGTTCCTTTTTCCCCCTCAGATAGGGTCTTCTGTAACCCCTTCTGACCCAGTAATTGTTATGTAGACCAGGCTGACCTGGACCTCATAGAGGTCTCCCTCCCTCTGCCTCAGGATTTAGAGGTCTGTGCCACCTGCACCACTCTCTCTTTAATTTCTAACACATGATAGGTAGATTTCTAAGTAATTTTCCTAATAGGTTTACTTGCTTGGTGTCTCTTTGTTGCCAAATCTAGAGTTTGAGTATCAGTATGTGTGTGTGTGTGTGTGTGTGTGTGTGTGTGTGTGTGTGTGTGTGTGTGTGGTGTTTCTAAGCGAGTATTGTATGTGTCAATAATTTGTTTCTTGGGTCATTTTGGCTCCCATACAGTGATACCTCTCCTTTCACAGTATTTTTCACACTGATGTGGTGCAGTGTCTCGAGGGACAGTGATACTCACAGTATCATGACTGTTGTTAAGTTCTTGCTACTTTACACTGCGGGGACAATTTACTGAATTCAGTTTTCCATACAGATGTATCCAACCTTTTGACATGGCTACAAGTGATCTACAAAGTTCACCTTTGAGAAGCAAATAATTGAGTTAAAATTGTATGTTGTATTTTTAAGTAGGTTTATGGTTGTGTTGGGCCATGTGCACAGTCATCATTGGCACATGCCACCCACAGATTGGACATGCTTGAATGTCGTTCCATTCTCCTGTTGCTGTTTGGTGAGCATGGCTTTGCTCTTGAGATCACCAATATGAACCTTTTGAGTTTTGGTTCATCCTCATTTGTTCAGTCATTTCTCCTGGGGTTGGCGGCAGTTCTCAATACGAAGTTCCCCCAGAGTATCCTAGACTCAACCAAGCTTCTAGAAACAGCTCTCCTCCCATTGGGCTCCAATTTCCCTTTGAACTTTAGTTGATTCTTTCCCAAGCTTTTAGTGAACTCTTTATTTAAATGCCCATCAAATGCTTCATCAGTGAGCTCATCTGATCAGGAAAAGGAATCTGCCTTACACACCAAACAAAAAGTTGTTGTTGCATTGTATATATTGTGTATCCTGAGATCTAGATTTTGTACACATGGTTTTTAAACTAGCAAACCATCAAAACTTTTCTAGGGGACACGCACTTTATTATATAAACCAGCAAATTAAGAGTATCGCATCGGGGGCTGGAGAGATGCCTCAGCCATTAAGAACACTGGCTGTTCTTAAAGAAGACCCGGGTTCGAATCCTATCACTCACATGGCAGCTAACAACTGTCCATAACTCCAGTTCGAGGGGATCCGACAGTCTTGTCTGTACTCCGGGGGCATTGCATGACACGGATGCACTTACCTACATGCAGGCAATACACGCATACACATAAAATAAAAAATAAAATATTGAATAAAGAGTGTCTCATGGATAAGATAATAAACTGAACACTGTCCTGTGGTGATACTGAACCCAAGCGATATTAAGATTTAGACTTACCAGGACTGGAGAGATGGCTCAATGGTTAAAGAACTGACTGCTTTTGCAGAGGACCCAAGTTTGATTTCCAGCACTGACATGGTGGCTAACAATTGTCCGTACCTCCAGTTCATGGGATTCGTCATCTTCTGACCTCTGCTGGTATTGCATGACTTGGTTGCAGTTACACACATGCAGGCAATACTCTTATATACATAAAGATTTATACTTACCATCCCGAATCTGTAAAAATTAGATAATAGTCTTAATTTTATATCCTTGTACCTTAGCTTAATTATTATGCTGGTGTTATAACCCAGACTTCCATGTCAATAGTAGTTTTTAATCTCAGATTTAACTTTAATTTACTCCTCAAGGAATATTTATCTATGACTGACAACTAATACATATAAGATAAAGTCCACAGTCTCCTTCTCTGTGTCATTCCAATGAGATGCTTGGAATTCAGTATCAATCATAAGGCATCCCTTCCTTCTAAAGACTATCTGTGAGTTCTTGGTAATCAAAGCATTGTACTGGTATATATAATTCTTAGTATTGCCCTTATGGTTCATCAACTTAAATTATGTTCATAAGCATTGCTTCATTTTCCTATTGTAATTAGTCTCTAAAACATTTTATACTTTTGTGTGTGGCGGGGGGATATTGGAGGTCAGAGGACAACTTGAAGGAATAGCTCTCCCCTTCTACCATGTGGATCCCAAAGATCAAATTCAGGTCTTCAGGCTTGGCTACAGGCACATATGTCCACTGAGTCATCACAGGCCTTGAAATTGTCTTATAGACCAATGAAAGTAATTCTTACTATTTTGATTTCCTAAGGAATCTCAACTTCACAGGTAAATTTGTCTTCTGCTTTTAGCAAATGCTGGAAAATGTTAACCTAATGTGTTTTACGTGTTTGCTGAACTATCAGGGAATATCCAGTGACACCACTGTCAATATTGCTGGTGCATGCTATATGTCTAGCCTATTTCTTTTTTATCTTTTTGAGACAGGGTCTCTTTGTATCTCAAGCTGGCCTGAAACTTGTTATGCGGGCCAGGCTGGCTTGAATCTGAAAGAAATTTGCCTGCCTTTCTGCCTTCCTCATGCTGGAATTAAAGGCGTGGCCACCATGCCCAGCTTTACTTTTTTATATCTCTTCTGTTTGAGTCTCTCGACTGTTCATCACTCACCTCCAGCCTTTTATACACAGGCAACTGAAAACAATAAAATTTTTCAAAATTGGATTTGAAGTTTTTCAGGTCAGTGTTATGTTCACAACCAATTCTTGGGGCTTTTTAAAGATCTGGGTTTCTTGGGGCTGGAGAGATGGATCAGTGGTTAAGAACACTGAATGTTCTCAGAAGACCCAGATTCAAATCCCAGCACCCATATGGCAGCTAACAACTGTCCGTAACTCCAGTTCTAGGGGATCCAATGGCCTCTTCTGTCCTCCAAGGGCAGTGCACGACACAGGTGCACTTACCTACATTCAGGCAATACATATACATAAAAAATAATAAAATATTTTTTTAAAGATCTGAGTTTCTCACATGCTAGGCAAACACTCTACCACTGAGCTATAGAGCTATATCCTCAGCCCCTCTCTTTATTCTTTTCTTCAGGCAGTGACTCGTTAAATTACTCAGGTTGGCTCTGAACTTATTCAGAAGTCCAGGCTGCCTTGAACTTGCAACCCTCCTGCTTCAGCCTCCCACTCAGATGGGGTTTCAAGTCTATACCATCAGAGTATTCTTGGTGACTTTAGAATTCCCATGCTCCATTGTGCCTCACAGGGCTTTTCTCCTTTCTGTGTAGATAGTTTAATGGGAGCTCCTTCTGCGATGGTGAGTTTCTATCCAAATATACCAGATACGGAAATCTTAACCTGTGGAGAGTTTGTATTTCTCATGGACTGTTCAAACAGCATGAAGAACCCTATGAATAACCAGGACAGGTCGCAGCTGCGCATAGATGCTGCCAAGGTAAAGCCGGTTGGTGTCTTTTTCATGTATGCTCACTGAGGATGAACCATGGGTTGTTTAAGGTCCATTTGGAGGTGTGAGTATGTGCTCTAAGTTCTGAGGCCTTCCTTGGAATACAAGATGGGGCGAAATGGGGTAACAGCTCACACTTTCCAGAGTTAGAGCACATGTCTGCCTGATAGGGTCTTCTCACTCTGCTTCTCCTCCATTCCCACCTCCAGGAAACACTGATCCTTCTGCTGAAGAGTTTGCCTTTAGGCTGTTATTTCAACATCTATACATTTGGATCCTCCTATGAGACATTCTTTCCGTAAGTTTTGAGAAAAAGGGGCCAAGAAGATATAGTAGGACAGGCAATATAGCTCAGCAGGTGAGCTCACTTGCCACCAAGTCTGAAGACTCTAGTTGGTTCCCTAGGACTCACATGGTAGGCAGGAACCAACTCTCAGAAGTTGCCTTTTGACATTCACACCTGTGTTGTGGCACACTGTACACACACAAAAACCCCACAAAATAAGTTATGTAAAGTAACATATTTTAAAGGAAGGGACTGTTGATGGTAAAATACTGACCTGGGCATGGAAGTCAGATGAGAAGTATTATCTGATGTGGTTTTTTAGTACTGGAAATTTGGAGTTGCAATCACATGACCATGTGTGTTTTTACTCTCAGGGACAGTGTGAAGTACACTCAGGAAAGCTTGGAGGTAGCTGTGGAGAGAGTGAAGCTTATGTTGGCAGATCATGGGGGAACTGAAATCTTAACCCCATTACGGAGCATTTACAAGAAACGCCCCATCCCAGGCCATCCCCTACAGGTAAAAATTAGAACAAGGCTAACAGAAAGAGCAACTGTCCCAAAGCCAGGATTGGTGGTACATACCTTTAATCCCATCACTCAGGAATCTCTGAGGCCAGTAGAGTCTACATAGTGAGTTCCATACTAGCTATGAGATAGGGTCTCACCCCCCTCCCCAAAATGCTCTAATCCCCCTAAAACCCAGAAAAACAAAAATCCAAAAAGGAAAAGAAAAACCAAAAATCATTGCCCTTAGGGACCAGACTTGATGGGCAAACCTTTAATCCCAGAACTCTGGAACCCAAGAGGCAGAGGCAGACAGGTCTGAGATCGAGACCAACCTGGCCTGCACAGCAAGTTCAGGGAGACTTTCTTAAAAAAAAAAAAAAAAAAACTCTTGAGTTTCATTGTAAATTATGAATATATTGTATGTAGTTTAGTCTTCTATCATATAGGAAAGAGAAATAAGACAAGAGGCATTTGTCATCTTAACCAAAATGAAGCTGTGGGTAATTGGGTAATGGTTGAAATGCTAAGTTCTAGTGTCATAAAATAAACTGGATGGTGATTTAGTGTTTCCCTCTGCAGCTCTTTGTCTTCACAGATGGAGAAATATTTGAGACTTTTACTGTGATTAAAGAAGTTAAGTTCAACAGCAAAAAACACAGGTATGAGGATAGTGTGGTTACTATTGGAGAATGGATCTCAGTAAAGGCCACTTGTAATCAAGTACCACATGTTACTAAGCATTTTTGACAATGAACAATTCTAAGCTTACAAAGTGATTTATTCTAGGCTTATAAAGTGATTACATAAAGAAAAGTACTTAAATTTCTAGACAAAATTTAAAACATATTCAAAATAGCATCAAGAATACAGAATACTTACTTGCATTTATTTTTTTCTGGCTGTATTGATGTCGTTATTTGGTCTTGAAGCTGGTGTTAGGTCATCCATTTATTATATTTATTTTATATGTATGAGTGTATTGGCTGCATGTATGTGAGTGTACCCGTGTTGTGCAATGCTGCGGAGGTCAGAAGAGGGCATCGGATTTCCCTGGAACTGGAATTAAGGATGGTTCATAGCCACCATGTGGGTGCTGGAAATTGAACCGGGTCCTCTACAAGAGCAGTCAGTGCACTTAACCACTGAGCCATCTCCTCAACCCCTTCACTCTATTCTTTAACAAAGTAAAACAGAAAACTACCCAAATAATAAAGTTGACACCAGATACGGGCTCATTTTTCTATGTTTCCCTTATCCCTGTTCCCATTTATAAATTCTTATTATCATGGCAGAAAATTAATTCATTTATCTTCTCTATTCTCAAACAACTCAAAACATTTCATCAAATTTCCAGCACAGATGGACTCACAAAGCCCCAGCCCTAACGAAGGAACTTTAGCAATTGAAAGCTGGGGTAGGATGAGTCTGTTTGCATCAGGGAGGTGGCCACTGGTAGATTGCCCATGCTCCAGTGGATGGCCCTACATTCCTGGATATGGGAATTATGCTGATCAAACTCGGTGGGTTATGAAAAGAGCACATGAAGTTGGGAAGGAAAATGACCATGTTGGGGGAGAGGGTATGGGAGGATTTGGAGGGGTAGCGAGAGGTGGAAATTGTCAAAACACACCGTGTACATGTATGAAAGTCTCAGGAATAAAGTCTTACAGAGCTTCTTTAGTTTTATACTGCTTACAAAACCTGAGCTCACGTTGCCATGAGTGGAACTCATATAAGGTATTTAAGAGAGTCATATGTTCAAAACCAATAAGTCACAATATATTAAGAGTTATATATTTAAATTCTTGTTCTTCTGCTTATGAAAGGTTTGGCAAACTCAACTCATCTCTCTAAACTTTTCTTGTATAAAGTGATAGCATTTATTAAGTTTACTGTGATGACTAATGAAATTCTAAAATTGCTATAATTTTTGTTCTCATTAGTATCTACATGAAGTCCCTTAGTTCTAGGAATAGACAATAACAATTTTTCACTTTGATATCATGCATAAAATCATTTTAAAATGTACACTCAAGAACTTTACAATATAGATTACAGTTGTAAGATTATTCTGGCATTTTGAAGTGTTGGTAGAAAATGACAGGAGCTTGGGCTCTTATCCTTATATGTTTAGGGCATTAACCTTAATATTGATGTTACTGAGGACTGTGACTTACAGAGACTGAATCAAGAGATCAGTTGGCCAATATGCAGGGAATAAGAACTTGAAGAATTCTTATCCATGATAGGACACCTATTTCAAATCTCTGCTTCCCAAGGCTCAGAGATCTTTGTGAAAGTGGAGGCAGAAAGATTTCTAAGAGCCAGAGTGGGTGGCCGACCACAAGGAAGTAGTGTCAAGACACTTTCATATGGTCAGTTACTCATATGAACACTCAGCAATGGTGACAGCCTGAACAAGAATCTATTGAAGCTCAAATCAGATAAAATCCCAGTTTAGATGTGGGGAAGTGGTAAGAAACCAACTCAAGAAACTTTTGGCAGTTGATGGCTGCTGAGAGGGGAATGACCATGTTTTATAGGGATAGGGCTCTTGGTGGGCCCAGTGGATAGATCTACACTGAAGGAGATTTGGGGACATGAATCAGATTCTATAGACTATTATGTAGGAGAGTACATTAAATTTGGTGAGGGTAGCAGGATGGGGTATGTAGATAGGGGAGGGGATGTAAATATCAAAAAATATTGTATGAAAATCACAAAAATTAAAACATGAACAAGAAATAGGCTTAAATTACAATGCATTAATTTACAATGAAAACTGTTTTATTTCAGCTAAAAATGCATATATTTTACCAATATATTTTCTGTGTATACTGTTGTATTTTGGAAATTAAATTATGGCTAAGACACTATTTGGGGTACATAGATATGGAGGGAGTGA